CTTAGCCCCCTTTACGCGTTTACGGCCTTACGTCCGTACCCCTACGAACGTTATAGGTACAAGTTTATAAAAGTTTTACACTTAAAAAAAGTATAATGTACCATTTGGGGAGTTTGTGTTCTGAAACTTTATTTGTAAATTGCTTTTGTCTTTTAGTTTAAAATTTCAATTTTACTTTTTATGGAGATGACAAAAGTATTTTTTGTCTTGTAGTAATATTTATAAAATTGTCCTAACAAAAGTAACTTTTTTTAAAAAAATAAACTACAAAATTAATAAATCCGCCATTCACAACTCTCTCTAACTTGAACCTTCATAATTTGAAGGGTTGTGAAATTTAGATTATCCCATACATATATATATATTTAGATTATCCCATATATATATATATATCAAAAAACCTAATTTCTCTAAAGACCAAGTTCATTGACAAAAAGAGAAAGAAGAAGAAGCTTAAGCTTGCTCTGAAAAATAAAAGGAGAAAAAAACTATCAAAAACTGGCAATAGAAGACAGCCCTCATGATACCCTCATTAATAGAGATCTTTCCCTTTTGTTTTGGTATGATTTTCTCCCTCTAATGAGGATCATCTTTTAGCGTGGCTTTCCCCCTCTTACTATTTGGAGGAAAGATGAGACGAATGAAAGAACACCAGGATTGAATGGAGACAGAATGGAATTAAATAGAGAACTCTAGAGACTGAACTGATTTGTTGGTGCCCCAGTGGAGATTAAAAGAATTATACCCAAAACGAAATAGAATGAAATCAAATGGAAAAAAGAGATATTGCACGAGAAACAAACAGATTTATCGGCATAAAGAGAGAGGGAGAGACTTGTGTTAGGGAGATGCTAATTTAAAGAGAGACTTTTAGAAAGAGAAAATTGTTTGAGAGAAATCATTTAAAAGACTTAAAAAAGGGGTTGTATATGACCATTTACCTTTTGGGAGGTTACAATTACTTACAACTAACCAATGTGAAATTTGATAGCTTTGATGTATTACAAAATTCGAAAAAATTTCTTTTGACTATTGAAGTTGATCAATGAAATAAATACAGTCACCTGAGTTCAGATCCAATGGTCAAAATTAATTGTGACCACCTTGTACCAAAGAAAAATGGTCTACTTTCCCTTAAAAAATAAAACTTTTCTCGACAAGCTTTTCTCGACAAAATGCCCAGCCTTTGCTACTGGCTCTTTTTCCGTCTACGAGAGACTTAAGTTTCCATTAGTGAGACTTAAGTTTCCATTAGTGTTTAACTACTCGATCCGAATTTTTCCTTTACAAGAGACTTAAGTTTTCATTAGTGTTTAACTACTCGATCGGAATCCTGCTTAAGTTTCCATTAGTGTTTAACTACTCAATCCGAATTTTTGCTCTACGGGAGACTTAAGTTTCCATTAGTGTTTAACTACTCGATCCGAATCCTGCTCAAGTTTCTATTAGTGTGTAACTACTCGATCCGAATTTTCCCTCTACAAGAGACTTAAGTTTCCGTTAGTGTTTAACTACCCGATCCGAATCCTGAGTAAGGCAGGGGGCCTGAGTCTGAGTTTTCCCAAGTTGGGTCTCTAACTCTAACTCGGGGACATCTAAAAAAAATTAAAAATGATCAAAATCTTAAAAATTATCAAAAATCTTAAAAATTAAGAAATTTATTCACGATATGATTTTTATGTTTTTTATCATTTTGGCAACAGATTTAAAAGTATTTTGACCATAAATACTTATTTTTTCATTTTTTTTCATCTTTTGTGAATTATTCTAAAAACACCCCAAATCACAAATTGATTTTCTAAAATCTATTCTTTCACCATTTTAACCTCATTTCCTTTTTTTTTTGCTTAACTTACTTCAAACATATATTTCCTGTTTTAAAAGAAATTATATTTTTTATAACAGTTTTAGCCTTTTATTTTTGCTGCTACCCTACTAGGTCCTTTACTCGGGCCGGGTACTCGATCATATCCTGGTTTCCCTGTCCTCGAGGTGAAGAAAGATTTCCAGGATTATTTGGAGATTTATTTTTGCGATCTTTTTGACAATTTCCTGAGCCAAACAACCATGATGCCTTCTAGAAGAGAAAAACCCTTTAGAAATTAATTTACGAGGTTGAACTGAACTCCACGGCAGGAGCTAAACCTTGAATTTCATTAAATCAAAATGAAAGAATAGAAACAATGAGAAACTACACTAACTTATCTCTCTCACCAAACCCAAACCACCACGAAAGGATCATTCGGCTCAAACCCCCCCCTTAAAATTCTCAGCCAAGACAAAAACAGGCTGAGACTCCACCTCGCCTCTCTCTCTCTAAACACGTACAAATCCCACCATACACTTCATGAGCTCTTTCTCTTCCTCTAGAATGGAAGCACAAAAGGCAATGCATGAATACCTATGGACGGCATGTAAAAGGCACTTGATGAGCTTCCCAGGGCAGACTTAGCAACTCTGATGTCTTCAAGCTCATCGCTTCTCAGCTCCTGTTGCTGCTCTCTCTCATAAAGCCACTCCATGTTATCAACCCCCGACAGTTCCTGATGAATTGGAATAGGTTTCCACTCTTTGATCAATGTCGCAAACAGGTCTTCTTCACTTAGTTCAGTGTTGCATCTATTGCTGGTCTCTGCCCTAACATTTGTATCCTTTCTTCTTTGATGATCAGAGCCAACAGTGGGCAGGGGGGCCTCCTCTTCATCCAGCACTTGTGATGACTCTTTAATCTTAACCAAATGTGGCTGCGTTGCCCAGCTTTGCTTATTCAGCAGTTTTTGTAGATCTTTGGTCTTGACTAAAGGAGCCTGGGTGGCCTGGCGTTGCTTGTTCAACACTCGCGCCTCTTCTGTTTGAAGCAAACGAGGCCATGTTGCCTGGCTTTGCTTATGCAGCAGAAGAGGCTCTTTGGTTTTAAGCAAAGGAGGTCTGGCCTGGCTTTGCTTCTTTGGACCTTGTTGTGGCTCTTTGGTCTTACATATAGAAAGATGAGTGGCCTGGCTTTGCCTATTCAGCGGCGGCCGCTGCAATGGCTCTTCCCTTAAAACACTAGCCTGCTTATCTAGTAGCTGCTGTGATTTGTTTTTGAGTGAAGGCAATCGTATCCAGAGTCCACTTCCTTAAATTCATAAATGGATAAGAAAGATATCAATGCCCAAAGTGCAAGCATAACCATGGGCTCACCATAGACATTGACAGTTTTTCAAGAACGTATTTGTATGCACATACAGAGAGAGAGTTATATATATATATAGAGAGAGAGAGAGAGCGTTTCATTCTCCATGCATGGTGAAGTAACGAATTCACACACTACCCTAAACTCACCATGTGTGTGAGCAATCGATTTGAGCTTCTGTTCAAGTGGCTCATTGATTGAAGAGCCCATTTCATGGTGAACCCTCTTCCTCTTGTTGTCACAGGTGTTGATAGGGATGGAATGAGTACCGTAAAGCTTGTTGTTGTTGGTATTGCTGGCCATGGAATGAGCACTATCAAGATGGTTATCACAGGTCAACTGCCCATGCTCTTCAGTAAGCCCACTCTTTTCCATGTGTTCACATTCTTCCTCTTTCCTGCCTGTGCAGCTTTCCAACATAGAGTTCCTTTTTTCATGCTTGCTACCCCGATCACAATCACCATGCTTTGCTTCCTTCCTCTCCTGATTGGATATCTCTTTCTTCTCTATCTTCCGATCACAATCACCATGCCTTGCTTCCTTCCTCTCCCGATTGGATATCTCTCTCTTCTCTATCTTCTCTTTCTCTCTCTCCTTTTTCTCTCTCTTGGCCTTGCGCCTGTCCTCCTGGACCACCAAATACCAAAAACAGATCAGTGCAAAGCGCATGCGACAGAGGACAACCATACACTTGAAAGACTCCACAAGCAACATTGAAATGAAATACAGCCCCTTATTCACCCATATATATATATATATATATATATATATATATAGCCCCTCAATATTCCTCTTTACTATGAGTGTTTGTATCACATTTTCAAGGAAGCAACTGGAAGGAAACACTAAAATATATCTGTTAAAATCATTATTACAAACCGGACAATGAAAGGATCAAATCCGTATAATCCCCAACCAAAAAAGAGCCAATTACAGATTACTGTAAAAAATGCATATCATGTATGTAGTCAATGATAGGAATCACCAGCGCAACAATTACAGTTTTGGTGCTGCAAATGGCTTAACAACAAACAAGTTACAACCACAACCTAACAAGAGTTTGCTGGAAACAAGTGGCCCATTTGTGCCAGTCAAGACTCATCGACCGTACAAGTTTTATGTGACATTTGTCCCCCAACAAAAAGCTGAGATGCATTTCAAAACAAAAATAATAATAACAATAAAAGAAAAAAAATAAAATGAGAAAAAAAGCTAAGTTGTACAAATCATCAACATTTCCCAAAAAAAAAAAGGTCCATAGGTCCAAAAAGAAAAAAGGCCATCCACATCCATTTCAAACCGCCAGTCTATGGTTCCCAAAAAGAAAACCCACCAAGTATTGCATTTGGCATTAGCCACAACCAAAACCCCTTTAGAATTTAAACCACTAATAATCAACCAGACAAGAGCATGTAGTAGAATCCTCTACAGTTTCTAGTTCCTGTACAACAAAATAAAAAAATATTCACTCATAGCAGAAGTCAAAACAAGCACATGAAGGATTAGATCCACTAAGGAAATTTGGCTCTTACAAAATGGAAGTCTTATATAACAGTTTGTAGGGCTTGTATAATGGAAGTCCAAATATTTGCAGAATACACAAGTCTAAGGAGAGGAATTGTGAAACAAAATATTTGTAAGACAAGGATATCGGCCCCAATGACATTCCAGTAGCTTGACTTGCATAATGAATTATTTATATGAAAATTTTGGCTGGATGCTTGAGTTGCCAACCAACCCATGCTCTACAATGGTAATTCTAATGTAGAAAGAAGTGACCCACCTCGCATCCAGGCAGTGCCTCCAGGTAGGCCCAGCCCTCGGGCACATCCCCTAGGCCGAGAAGGCCCACCTATGAGGCCTTGACATTAGTGATAACTAAGTGGCCCAAGGCGGGCACCTTGGGCTGCCCGAGGGCAGAAATTGCCCTCTACCATGGGTGAAAAGACATTTCTTTCCCCATTATAAGGGGGTGGAGAAGATTGGGGAGAGTGGGCATTCCCTAAACTATATAATTGAGAGAAAACATCAAACTTGAAGTTTTCCTTCTTCTTCTTTTTGTTTTTCTTGAGTTCTAAAAAATCCAAGTTCAAGAAATTATCCCAAATCTTTTTTTTTTTTTGCGGGCAGGCAGGGGGTGGTTATTGTTTGATACAATTCATTGTGTATCATCACGAGAAGTTACAAGAGGATATTTTGGGTGACATTGAGCTCAATATTCATCCAAAACGTCAAGAATCCTAGTTCATTTCAACAAAGGAAAGTTAAATACCTCTACTTTTGAAACCTTTAATTCTATTGAAATGCCTTCTTTGAGTTCATGTAGTAGTGGGGGGGAAATACGACTTCTGCTTGAAAATTATCAACCAAAGATTAGTACAATTATTGTAACCAAGATACAAATACACCTCGCCAGTTTTAGGGGGGACATCGCCCCATCACATGTAAGGATGTTTTGGCAGATACTAGGAAGAACATGCTTGCTTATTTGGATGCCAGAAAGAAGAAAAAGACTACAAGGGACGCAAACATATTGCAAAATGAAAGGTCGGGGTGAATGTATTTGAAGACAATGAAGATTATGATAAAGGAGAGACTGAAGCTGGATCCTCTTGAAAATCTAAAGAGGAATTGGGTCTAAGAAGCCTCAAACGAATACAAGTATTTTTAAGAAGGTAAAATGAGCCAAGTAAATCTGTGTATTGCCTGGTTGATATATCATCCAGGAATTGTTGTCAATTCTACTTGCCTAAACAACTTCATACAATGTCAGAGCCCCCAATTGGCCAATATGGGCTTTGCCAAGGTTAAAGGACCCAACCCTTTACAAGCTTATGGAGCCATGGCTACAAAAGGAGGGACAACTCACAAAGGAATATGTCTAGGCCCATATGGATGCCTGAGTGCAATATGGGATTTAATAATCACAAATTCATAACGTGATGGTGTATTGCCCTCTAGGAACAGTGTTTTTAAGGGTTATTGCTGCATCTGATGATATTCATGATGCACAATGTACACTTTCTTGGGTTGGCAAGGGTATGGAGGACATTGGAGAGAAGCATGTCATACAGGTACAAACAAACATGGCTGCAGTGCTGCACTAAAAGTGGCATTGTATTTTTTGGACACCATTTGCAACACACTGCATAGACCTCATGCTTAGGGTTATTGGTGAAGTGCAAAGCATAATGGAGACACTTAATAATGCCAAGGGTGTGACAGTATTCATCTAAAGTCACAACGTTACAAAAAGATTTTCAAGAAAATTTTGAACCAAACAAAGCAATCAAAAAATTCATTTTTATTTCATGAGATAAAGCCAGGTGAATCTACTATAGTCATCAATGAAAACCATATAATAACAAAAACCAGAATTAAATCTCACTGGTGAAGTCCATACATTTGAATGAATCAAATACAATGGAACATGAATAGATCGAGTCCTCTATGAAAAGGGAAGCAATCCACTCTTGCGCTGTAGGCAATTATGACAAATTGACTCCAAACTACTATTAGAAACAGGAATTTAACTTATGCAGATGCAAAAACTGAACCATTTGCTAAGAAGCATGACCCAACCCGAGATGCCACGTATCAATAGACACATGAGCAGCCCCTCACTACTCATTACTCCAGGATATTTTTAAAAGAGAATCCTCACCCAAGGAGAATAAAACGTTCCCCTAAAGATTTCCAGCAACAATCTAACAAGTCATACAGCAACAAAAATACAAAAAACCATTTGAAAAATCATTAGCAAGAGTTGCATATACAAACTACATAGGGAAGGACACATTAAAACTCAGTATTCTAAAATTCCCATAAAAACCTAAGCCATTTATACCTATTTATGAACAACTGATTTCGAAGGTTCAGTGGTGCTCAGAAAATAAGGCAATTACATTGCCAAAAGCCACACCACCAAGGACAATATACGTTCCTAAATTTTTGACAAGTATGTACGCCCAATATTTCTCTTAGCGATGCTAAGCATGCCGTCAGTTACCTAATTTACACAAGTTTCATTTTATTTGATGCCACACTATCTTTCCATGAACCAAGGTTTCAAAAAACACTAAGCAGCCTCAAGGGGGCTGCCGCGCCAAGGCGGGCGCCCAGAACCTCGGGTGCCCAATAGCTTTTTCACTTTAGGGTCATATATTGACGGTTAAAAATATACCCCATATCATTTTTATACAACCTTCGTTTTTATACAACCTTGGGGGTCAAAATGACCCCTTTGCCCTTTTGAGCGGTTTAAAACAAGAAAAAGGCAAGCGCATCCGCCCGAACGCCCGCCCAGGTACATCCACCCGCCCGCCCGCCCAAGTACATCCACCTGAGTCTAGGCGTGCGGATTTTTTATCCACGCCGCCCAAACGCCCGCCCATGTACATCCGCCCATGTAGGGCGGCCTAAGTCTAAGCATGCGGATTTTTCGTCCGGCAGATCGTTTTTTTAGAACATTACCATAAACATTTGAACATTTGTGTAAGGCTGACCGTTTTTTAGAACATTGCCATGAACATTTGCTTACACAACACCATTCTATAAAATTCTACACTTTTTTTAATACACTTTTCCCTGTACCCCAGCAATCAACAAAAATCATCATGGACTTTACCGGCAACTTGCACCCACCACTATCCCCTTCTTATGCAAAAATAATACTCCTAGCCAGTGTTCACGAACTTAGCCAAGTTACATAGACTCAATTCTGAGTAACTTGGCTACGCAACTACTTGGCTCCTTGCATAGCCGAGACCGAGAAATCAATATAGTCACGTTTATATATAAAATCAAAAAAATAAATTGATGTTAAATTGTGAACGCCATGTATAAATATTTTATATGTAATTTAGTTTTTTTATGATTTATGGGTGTTTCTTCCCATATGCCTTACTTTTATAATTTTCTATTTTTCTGAAGGTTTCTTGAATCTCTCCAACTATAAATTATTTTTTTCTAAATCCAAGTTTTATGGTGCGATTTGTATAAGGCTGAGGTCCTAAACAATCAAAGTAGGGCGCACCTTCAAATACTGCCAATATGTTGCTCAAAAATAGTGTTTAAAGTTCAAAAATAGCGTTTAAAGTTCAAAAATAGTGTAGATTGAGCACACGAACACCTGAAAATCTAGAAAATTGGCATTCTAGATAGATGCACAATTTTAAGACTTGAAATCTATTATTTCTCATGTCCATACATCTTGAGGTCAAGATGATTGAATTTAGGATTTTTCAAAATCAAAATAATCTTTTCTGATGATTTTTTGAGGCTCGCCTTAATTTGATTGTTTAGGGCCTCACCCTTATATAAATGTTTTCCTTCTTATTTGGACTTTTAATGTTGTTTTTGGTGAACTTTTATTTCTACTTTTCAATTTATTTTTGATATTTTTATTTTTTTATAGTTTAAGGGTTTTTTTTGCCTCTCACACTACTTAGGTCAGTCCAATCAGACTTGCCCAAGATACTCTGCTTCGGCAAGACCGAGTCCCAAGCCCATCAAAAGTTATCGAACATTGCTTCTAGCAATTGGGCAAAGGCCCTACAGTGAAAATTCAATACCCAGGCAAAAGCCTTACAGAGAAAATATCAATACCCGGGCAAAAGCCTTTCAATGAAAATATCAATACCCAGTTATATCCAAATTCTTGGATCCCTCAGAGTCCAATATGAAATAAGACCACCAGTTTGGGGTGTCACCACTTCTCATTTTTATTGCTCAGTACCATCAATTTGGGGTGTAACCACTTCTCATTTTTATTGCTCAGTTTAAGGTGGCCAATGCATTAATCCCATTGCTACTAGACTGAGCAATGAGCACCTATCACCCTGCTAAACTGAATAACCATGGATAATATGTATCAACTGAATTCGTTATGTCCCAAGAAGCATAATGACATGGCTGAATAAAAAAAGAAAATGAAAAGATATAAACCATATCATAATTATCATAATCGGCAAGTGAGATGCCCATATAGAAATATATATATATAAAAACTATATTGAATGCACCAATATTCTTAGAACTACATAACATGATCTTATACCTCAAGAAAAAAAACCC